TCTCTCCTGCCCTACAGAAGATGCTCTGCACAAAACTGATCAATGTGGCTAAAATTGAGACACAGGTCATGCTTCCATCACAGTAAACATTTACAGTGGTAACAATGAGACCTGTAACATTTTGCTTAATACTGAAAAATGGTGGCTTTCAATATTAGAAATGGATGATTAAGGAATACTATAGAATCTAGATCATGTGCCAGAATACCAATACTACATACAATTTGAATTCTAGGCTCCCAAAATGTAAATTTCTGGAAGAAACTGGATATAAGACCACAGGAGTTTTGAAATTGTCATTGTCCATATTAAAGTGGAGACAGAAGAACTGTCACAAAGCAGATTGGAATGACTGGATTAAGCATCAGTTTTTTTCAAAAGGGCTATCTTGGAGACGAAGACCTCATTTTTTTTTTTTTAAGAACCTCATTAAAGTGACCTTAATGAGTATTAAATCACATGTGAAATTACTTACATAAAAATTTACTTAATTAAAAAAAAGAAGATACTCTGCAGACAGAGTCAGAACTATAAGCAATACATGTCTGGTGTTTATAAATTACCCAGTCTAAGGGGTTGGAGGTGTTTTTGTTTTGCTTTTTGTGACAGGGTCTCACTATGTAGTCAGTCTGGCCTTGAACTATGTAGCCCAGGCTGACCTTGGACTTGGAGCAATCCTCCTGCCTCAGCCTCCCAAGTACTAGGCTCACAGGTATGTGCCACCATGCCAGACTGCTATTGTGACAGTAGCACTAAGGGGACTAAGACAGACTCCCTGCGTAGCACTGCTCTTAGTTCTTCTGCTCTCTTTGAGATTTATTGTGAAGGGAAAAGCTCTCAAAACAGGAGGGCATTCAAGCGTTTGCCTCACCCACTTCCACAGCCTCAGGCTCCCTGTCAGCAGGAGGCACTTGGGCCTGGGCTCTCTCTTCATCTTCTTGTCCAGAGCCTCCTGCAGTAGCTCAGTGTTCAGTGCTCCGGCCTTCGCCTCTCCTGGCCTTTGCATATGCTGCTTCCTCCTGAAATACCCTCCACACCCTTTGCCCTCTGTGCTTCCTCCAGAAAGCCCTCCTTGAGGTCTCCCAGGCTGGTTGGGCTCTCCCTCAGCACAGCGCCTTCCCCTCAGCCCAGGCAGCTTGCACAGTGAGGCTCTTGTTGGCTTGGGCTGGCCTCGAACTCATGGTGATCCTCCTGCCTCAGCCTCCCAAGTGCTGGGATTACCGGCAGAATTACAGTTTTATACCACTACCATGTTTAAATGTCTATTCTTGGCCAAATGTGGTGGCACGTCCCAGCATTTGGGAGGCTGAGGTAGGAGGATTGTCAAAAGTTCAAGGCAAGCCTGGGCTACATAGTGAGACTCTGTGTCCAAAAAAAAAAAAAAAAAAAGAAAATGTATTCTTTATAAATGACTCAGTCTTGGATGTCTTGTCTTTTTTGAGCTTTTAGTTAGTAATGAATGAATACATTAGACACTTTGGGTTTTAGTTGGGATTTTCCATAGTTTACCTTTTAATTCTTTAATTCTCTGCTATTTCTATTAACCCACAGCATTATTTTAATAAATGTTATAATACCAACCTGCTAAGAAAATGACTCAGTGTTGGATACTTTGTTACAGCAATAGAAAATGGATGAAGACACATCACCGGGTGCTGAGGGGATCACAAAGATAAGGATTTATTCCTATTATCATTAATATTTGTTAATTTTTGCAGTGCTGGGGCTCAAACCCAGAACCTTGTGCATGCTAGGCAAGCACTCTAGCATTGAGCTCCACGCTGGCCCTGAGGTTACCATTATACCTCTGTCTCCTTGGACTTGCCAAGTTCATGCTCTGACTCTCCTATTGCATGGATAGGTTCCCTGCTAAGCACTACCTGAGTCTGCCCTGACCTGTCGGTGTGTGGGATCACCCAGTGACCGAGCCGTACAGGGGCCCACCATGGCATCCCCAGGTGCCAGGCACTGCGGGTGGGCTCAACAGGTGTTTTATTCTTATTTTAAGAATATTATGCACTGGGCATGCTGGTGCATGCCTGTAATCCCAGCACTCTGGAGGCTGAAGCAGGAAAGATCGCCAGAGTTCAAGGGCAGCCTCAAGGACATAGTGAGATCCTGTCTCAAAAAACAAAAACAAAAAACCCAAACCGAACAAACAAAACATAAAGTGCTTTTGAAAGTAATGTCACGCGAGGAGGGAAGTGGCCAGACTTCTCAAACTGTTCAGTAGGAAAAATGCAATCACAACAGACGAAGTTCTGCAATTTCTGTGCAAGCGAGCTGAGCAGAGGAAGAGCCTGGGTGGGGTAGGCGTAGCCCCTTCCCCCTTCCCTCCTGCTGCAAAGCAGCAGGACCCAGCTGCCTGCAGGACCTAGCTGGATGCTGGTGCACAGCTGAGTCAACCTCGCTTTCGGTTCTCTGTGGCCACAAGCCGGGGTCAGCCCTGCAGCAGCACTCAGGATGACTAAGCATCTTCATCTCCTGCCCCTCCTGCCCTGCTGTGTTCCTTCTGCTTTGCCCAGGTCTGATCCTAATCACTGGGGCCCCAGCTCAGCCGAGATTGGCAGTCTCCCTGAAGCCCCACCCCCACCCATGGACCCGCTGTCCAGGATTTAGCTTTCAGGTGTCTGAAAATCACACAGGAAACGACTGCTTGTGCTGACGGCCCATGTGCCCACGCTACCCTAAACTCCACAAGGACAGGGACCATGTCTTGTCAGTGCTGATTTCCTGCTGCCCAGAACAATCCTTATGATAGGAGCTCAATGTTAGCGTGACTGCTTGCTGGGATGAAAGGGATTTATCCATTAAAGCAGTGCCATTTGATATGGTAGACACCAGCCCCATGCAAATTTAATTAATTAATTAATTAATTTTTGTTTTGTTTTGTTTTTGGTACTGGAAATCAGACTCGGGACCTTAAGCTTGCCAATCAGGTGCTCGTGCTGCTGAGCTATACTTGGCCCTTCATTGATTTAAACAAAAGTAAAAATTACCTGATAGTTTTCTAAAAGTGGCTCACCAAATGTATGTTACATGCCGGGTGTGGTGGTGCACGCCTGTAATCCCAGCACTCGGGAGGCTGAGGCAGAAGATCGTTGTGAGTTTGAGGCCAGCCTGGGCTACAGAGTGAGCTCAAGGCCAGCCTGAACTGCATGGAGAGACCCTGTCTCAAAACAAATAAACAATCAATCAACCTGGACTACATAGTGAGACTGGGAATGTAGCTCAGTGAGGTGATAGAACACTTGCTTAGCATATATCAGGCCTAGGTTTAATCCCGAGCAGTGCTAAAAAAACAGAAAAAAAAAAGTGCTAGACACGGTGGCACTTGCCTATAATCTCAGCACTCGGGAGGCTGAGGCAGGAGGAGGATCACTGTGAGTTGGAGGCCAGCCCAGGATTGTTCTGGGCTACAAAGTGAGTTTAAGGCCAGCCTGAACTGCACAGTGAGACCCTGTCTCAAAAAGATTTAAAAAAAAAAAACACCAAAACTTTAAAATCCATTCAACAATTCTACTTGGCAGAATGTACCTTTAAGGAAATAGCTGTTGATATAAGCAGATTTAGCTACAGGATGTTCAAAGTACAGCACTGTTTATATTAATAAAAAGGGAGGTTAGTTAGATTTTTGTGGTATAGCCAACAAAAATAGAAGATTGAGGCCAGTAATCCAGGAGCATTGGAAAGGAGTACTGAAAATTTGAGCCTAGCTGGGCAACTTGGTGATTTAGCAAGATCTTATCTCAAAAGAAAAAAAAAGGCCTGGGATATAGCTCAGGGCAAAGGCCCTGGGTTCAATCCCCTGTACTAAATAAATAAACAAATAGAGCTAGGGGTGTAGCTCAGCGGTACAGCGCATGCTTAGTATGCCCAAGGCCTTGGATTGGATCCCCAGCTCTACCAAAAAGAAAAAGACCATAATGTTATGAAAGTATTTTCAAAATATATTGCAAGTTAAACAACTAGTTAAAACACACGAATAAACTATCTGGGATTCGAGTGGAAACCCTCGAGACTTCATCTGTAACTCCTGAAAATTTTGCTACATAGTCCAGGCTGGCCTTGACCTTTCGATTGATCCTCCTGCATCAGCCTCCCAATGCTGGGATTATAGGCATGCCCCAGTACACTCTATTTATGACTTCATTTTTGTTAAAATAAAGTCCCTGGGAGTTGTAAAGACCAGACTAATCTATAGAAAATGATTGACTGAGTAAATGCTCAACAAATAGCAACTGGGTTCACACAGAGAAAAAAAAGGGTATTTGTAAAAATATTAGTAGCTGCCTCTAAGTAGAGATTGGATTGATTTTTGTCGTCTTGGCTCTTCTCCCTTTACCTGTAAACACGTATTTTTTTTTTTAATAAGGGGACAATGAAAGATTTTTAAAATTCTGCAAGGCTCAACTCCGGATAGTTCTCTACGAATACTTCCTTGGGTCCTTTCCTAAGTCAAAGACACCGCCCCCACCCGACTTGTGCCACTACAGGTCAAACCTCTAGAGCCGCCCCTCACAGTAGCACGTCTGATGAATGTATAGGTGGAGAGATGGCGCCTGCATCCCTTTACCAGCCGTCTCAGGGGAACGTGAGGCAGACACAAGCCACTGGCCAGCACTGACATCAAGCAAGGATCTAAAGGAGGTGCTTGTACACCCTTTTTCTCCAGAAGCCAGTGACTCAGGGCTCTCTGCACAGCTTGAGGGTTCCTGAGTGTCACCGGGAACAGAGGACCTGGGTGCAGAGGCGCAGAGCAAGGCCTGGGCTTTCGAGTGTGACCCCCTGCCCCCGCCCTATTCTTTTCCTTGGGACGAGGACAAAAGTGATTCTGAGTGCCAAGGGCCCCGCCCTCCTTTCCGCGTTACCTGGTGACTCGGACAGGAAGTGGGTGTTCGAGTTCTGCTTCCCCACGTGCCAACTCTAAGGCTTCTATTTCTGTAAAGTGGGGATAATGACGAAACGAGCAGCTGGGAAGAAAGACCGAAACTCGCTCGATAAGTTAACAGTTCCTATTTTGTGTATTTTTTGATTCAAGGAACCAGACGCCGGAGAGGGACAGTCCCTGCTGGCACAGCAGAACCGCGGCCAGGACGCGCGGCCCCTCTGAACGCCCCCTCCCCGCAGGAACCGGGGCCGCCTAGTCGGACCCCGAGTCCGCAACATCCTTGGGGTCCAGTGGGCGGAAAGGGGAGCGGGGGTGGGAGGAGCGCAAGGCCGGGGATGGCGCGCGGTTGGTGGAGAAGAAGCCGAAGAACTCCGCGGCGAAGGTGACGGCGTCTTGGGGCTGGCGCACCAGCAGGAAGAGCAGGAAGTCGGAGACGAGAGCCTGCGCGTCGGGGTGCCGCCGCAGGTAGCTGGCGTGGCCAAGCCGGAGCTGCTCCTGCGGGCAGGCGGTCCTGAGCCAGCCCTGGGGACGGATCCGGAGCCCCACCCTCGCTCCCAGCACCCCCTCTCTGGGGTATGCATTGCAGTCAGGCACAGAGAGACGAGTAGCGGGGAAAAGGGGGACCTCAGGCTGGCTGCAGCCCCCCTCACCTTCCGGTCCAGGAACTTGGAGTAGAGCTCCATGTCCTCCTCCCACGCCAAGGGCTTCTTGTGGAACACGGGCGGAGGCTCAATCTCATCTGCGTGGGGAAGGAGGAAGGCTGCGGATCCCTGCGCCCCAGAACCTTCCTCGATACAGAGGTCTCAGAACGCCCATTCAGAAGGCATGGGCTCGGGTCAAACCTCAGGATTCAGTCCACCTGGGCCGAGTTGCTGGAAGTTGCTGGGTCAGGGCCGGCGGGCGGCCCCTAGGACTCCTCCCAGGTCCTGGGCATCCACAGCACACTCATGCTGCTAAACCCAGGGCCCAGGAACCCCTCACCCCTTCACCTCCCAGCAGCTGCCCGAGAACTGGGCTGCACTCACCCTCCTCCCTCAAGATGGGCATCTTGGTGACAACGAAGCACCCGGGGGAGCCCACCTGGACTCTCTTTGCCAGGTGCCTGGAGAACAACGAAGAAGAGGGCAGAGTGAGGCTTCCTCCCCTTCCCCTTAGGGACAGGGCCAAACTCTAGGCCCCACTATGGAGATAGGCCTTTAAGGAGGGAATTTAAGTTAAAGTAGGTCACAAAGGTGGGGTCCTAATCAGGAGGGGTTGGCATCCTTTTTCATTTTTGGTCTTTTTTTTGAGACAGGGTCTCTCTATGCAGTTCAGGCTGGCCTTGAGCTCAGTTTGTAGCTCAGGCTGGTCTCGAACTCGCAACGATCCTCCTGCCTCAGCCTCACCAGTGCTGGGATTACAGGCGTGTGCCACCATGCCTGGCAAACTTTCTTTCTTTTTTTTTTTTTTTGTACCGGGAATCTAACTCATGACCTCAGGCTTGCCAGGCAAGTGCTTATGCCGCTGAGCTATATCCCCGGCCCGGGGTTGGCATCCTTATGAGGAAAAAGAAATGGTCAGAGAGCTCTCTATCCACTTGCACACAGAAGAAAGGCCGCAGGAGGACACTGGCAGGACGTGGCTGTCTAGGAAGAGAGGCGGCCCCAGGTCAGCTCTGCTGCCCTGATCGTGTACTTCCAGTCCCCACAACTCTGAGGAAGCAAATTGCTGTTACTTAAGCATCCAGACTGTGGGATTTTTGGCAGCTAAGACACCGCAGCGCCCCCTTAAGGGCTGTCCTGGACGTCTCCGCTTACTTTGGCCTCCCCTTCTAGTCTTTTGAGTTCTTGGGTCATATTCCAGATGACAGAGGGCTTGGCAAGCATTAGGCCCCTGCTTTAACAAGTAAATAAAAAAAAGTGCTGAGACCTTCAGATGTAAACACTAAAAAAAAAAAAAAAAAATTCACGGGACCTCCTGCTCTGTGTGGGACACTCAAACGAGTAGAAATATGCTAAGTTATGAACTGAATAAAGCCTACAACATTCTTGGTACTTTGTCCTCCAGTGCAGGGTCTCGGTTGATACCTCTTCTGAAATTTCAGGAAACAAATTCTCCTCCCCCACTGGCATTTTCTCCAGGTTTGGTGGCAGTGCAGTGCAGTGCAGTGCAGTGCAGTGCAGTGCAGTGCAGTGCTGGTGACAGCTTGGCAGGGTGCCAGGGCACTGCCCCAGCTCATTGGCTAGCTCACATGGACAGCCGCTAGAAACTTGGTATTTTCAGTACTTCCCTAGCCCGGGGACTGCTTCCCCTGTGCCCCAGGCTTTGTGGGGTTGCCAGGTACTTCCTCAGCCAGGCAGGGTTTTCTGGTGAGAAGGTGTGGAAGGCTCTCAAGGAGCCAATGAATGAAGAAGGGGTGAAAGATGTGGGCAGAGTAGGGGACACCTAAATCTCAATTGCAGCGCGTCCTGACGGTGTTCCCAGGAATAGCCAGTCTCCCCTTTGTGCCGTGCCCTTTCCTCATCGGTGGATGCCTGTCCTTGGACATCATACTGCCCCCTTGGCCCCAATTACGACTTAAATATACATATCTTAGTGCCCCAAAGATTCATGTATTGAGGGCTTGATCCTGAGGGTGCTAACCTAACCTGGTGAATGGACTAACCTATTGGCGAGTTCACTGGTGCGTGGGCAGTTAGGAGATGGGTCTAGTTGCAGGAAGTGGGTCAAGGGGACATGCCATTTGAGGTATATCTGGTCCCTCCTCCCTTCCCTTCTGGCTCTTTTCCTTTCTGCTTCTCAGCTGCTATGAAGTGAGCAGCTTTCCCCTGCCATGCCCTAGTGCCATGATGTTTCTGCTTTACCATGGCCTAAAAGCAGTGGCGCCTACCGACCATCAACTGAGACCACGAGCCCAAATAACCCTTTCCTCTTTCAAACGGATGCTCTCAGGTATTCTTTCTTTGGGTTTTTGCTTCGGGTTTTGTCCTCAGGTATTCTGTCACAACAATGGAAAGATAACACAGTCCTGGTGCCACCCCCCGACATATACAGTGGCTCACCCATCAGAGAGCAGGTAGAACTGACAGGACACGGGGATGCCCTCCTCCGAGCGCACAGTCTGCTCCACGATGAATACCTGGGCCTGCTGGCGGCCCACCTGGATTGTCTGGAAGCCTAGGGCTTGCTGCAGCCACCAAATGAAGGGAGAACGCTGAGGTGGGGTCACCAAGGTCTTCCCATTCCGGCCTGGCCCTTTCTTTCTCCTCCCCTCCCTCTGTTCCTCCCCTTCCCCCCCCCCAACCTCTCTGCCTTCTCCTTTTCTTCCTCCTCCTCCTCTTGCTCATGTCTTCATTCCTTATTCACCAGTGACAAGCAGCCCTTGGCTGATCAGACTCACAGGTGCCACCAGTTTTGAGTTGCACCCCCAAGCTAAATTGGGGACCCCTCACAGCCAACTAGCTCCAGCTTACCCTGTCCACCCCCTCCCCATGGCATCTCAGTGACGTGGCGCTTCTAGATTCCCTTACAGGGATGAGGGTCAGTATGGGGAGGGATAGTGGGGGGACAGGCTATTGGGGCTGTGAGGGGAGGTAGCGAGGAACTGAAGGGTGAGACTGTACTGCGGTTTGTGGTGGCCTCAGACCTGTACCACTGCTGTCACAATTAAGTGGAGAATTAATGGAGAGAAAAAAACCTGACACTGAACAGATGTTTCCAAGAAAATGGAGGAGAAATTGCATGTGTTTGTTTGTGTCAAACACATTGCTATTGGTTTTGTCTGCGATGGACAAGACTAGGATGTACTTTACAAAGTTGGTCAAAGAAAGACAAACTGAACTAGGTACGGTGGCACATGTCTGTAATCCCAGCACTTGGGAGGCTGATGTGGGAGGGTCAGAGAGAGTTCAAGGCCAGATTGTGCTACATAATGAGTTCAAAACCAGCCTGAGCTACATAGCAAGACCCTATCTCAAACAAACAAATAAATAAATACACAAACAAATAAATAAAAATAAAAGGGCCTGGGATATAACTAAGTGGTGGAGCACTAGTATGTGTGAAGCCTGTGTGATGTCTCTTTCAAAGCAGCCTTTCACTGTTTTTCACACACTAACTTGTGCAAAAAGGGCTGCTTCATTCAGTTGTCCCCATTCATTCCTCCTGCCCCTCACTTGATCTCTGTGAAAGGTTTTCTTCTGGTTTCTCGTGCCTTGGATGTCTCACTGCCATCCCCACTCTGATTTCCTTTCTACTCCACGGCTCTCTTCTCTCCCATGTCAGCACCTATCACCTCCCTTCTAGTTGGCACCCAGGACAAGTCGTCTGCCCGGGGAGACCTCGTACATAGGTGGAGCAGCAGAGTTTGCCCTCAGTGTCCAGGGCCAGGAAGCGGGCATTGCTGGGCACCATCTGCCTCCAGGCCATCACCCGCAGCAGCACCAGGTTGGCAGCCTCGGAGATGAAGCCCTCATTTGAGTCCCAGGGGAAAGAAGTCTTGCTGGTCTTCATTTCCTTTTCAGGGAAGATCTGGGTGAGGGGTCTCGAGCAGGAAGCGGGAGGGTGGGCAAGGTGGGTGTGGAGCACATGACCTTTTAGGAAGTCCTTGGTCCAGGCTCCTGGTCTCAGCCTCACCCAACCCAGTCCCTGCTTGTGGTTCGGAGGAGGATGTGACAGCAGTTCCCACCTGGCCATTACCCTTACCTCATCCTCTCTGAAGCTTCTGGTCACGGCCAGCTGGTTATCCTTCTTCAGCAAACTCGTCTTCCGCTCCATGGGGAGGATGGGGAACTGAGGGCCAGAGCATGCAGGGGAGACTCATGGACTCCCTGGAGGTTTAAAGTCTCTCTCTCTCCCTTCTTTCCTTTCTTTCTTTCTTTCTTTCTTTCTTTCTTTCTTTCAACAGTGCTGGGGACTGAACCCAAGGCCTTGAGCACAGGCAAATGCTCCACCACTGATTCAAATCCCCAGTCCTGAGCTTTGAAGGATATGCTTTAAAGGATAGCAACAAGCTGGGTGTGGTGGCGCATGCCTATAATCCCAGCACTCGGGAGGCTGAGGCTGGAGGATCATTGTGAGTTCGAGACCAGCCTGGGCTACAACGTGAGCTCAAGGCCAGCCTGAACTGCACAGTGAGACCCTGTCTCAAAAAGATTAAAAAATAATAATAATAATTAAAAAAAAAGGACAGCAACGAACCAAGAAAGCCTTCCATATACCATAAAGCTTGGCCATATGATGGTATAATTTGAAGCTAAAAGGCAGTGCCTCTCAGGACACAGGTTGTTTTTTAAATTTTTATTTATTTATTCTTTTTTAGGACACAGGTTTTATTTTAGGCTATTTTTTTTTTTTTTTTTTTTTTTTTTAATGTCTTTTCATTTTATTTATTTATTTATTTATTTATTTATTGGTACTGGGAATTGAACTCAGAACTTTGCACTTGCCAGGCAGGCGCTTGTACCACTGAGCCATATCCCCAGCCCATGGACACAGTTTTTAAAGGTGAACATGGACACTGGGAAGGTTCTTAAGCACACTTGGTTTCCAGTGTGTAGACAGATCAAGGCCACATTGTAAAAGTTAGTGAAGAGCCCGGGCTGGGGGCAAGGGATGTAGAGCCAAATGGTGAGGCCCTGGGGGAGCCGCTAAGCTCTGGGAAAGGTCAGTGACAGGGCTCCCAGGGAGACACCAGGCTGCGGCTGGAGGGCTCCACTTGTGTATAAGGAGAACATCTGCAGTAGCAACTGCTGCTGACCTCAGTGTCTCAGATGAATGGATGCTTGAGCTGTAAGTGGCGGGGTGGCAGGGTGACAGGAGACAGTAGATGTGCTATTCTACTGGACCCCTCCCTCCATCCCTCACAGGAGCTTTGACCTCTCACTCTGACTCAGGAACAAGGGTTGGGGACCCCTAGGAGGTACCTTAATGAACTCATGACTGTGTTGTTCTAAGGGCTCCAGTTTCCACGAGAGATAGCCTGGAGTGCAGAAAGCAAGGGCTGGCATCGCTGGATCTGTGGCTGTGAATGTGTCCCTCCCCCCATCCTGTCCCAGTCAAATCAAAGAGCGGGATCCTGGGATCAGAGACTCTGGGAATGGAGGGGATGGACAGTGACAGGCACCAAGAAGCCCAAATTCTACCCAGGACGGAGTTTCCACAAATGGTTTTATCCATGACGCTACGGCTCCCAGCGTGGACGAAGAGGCAGTGTGACATGAGTCCCTGCTGGTCCTTGTACTTCCCGCTCTGCACCTCGATGGTCATCTCTCCCTGAGGCTCCCCCGCGTCAGAGACCATGACCAGCGTCTCAGAGAAAAACAGCATTTGCAGCTCCTGCGGCCCTGAGTTGGTTTGGGGACAGGTAAGCCTCTGCTCTGGGCCCAGCCCCCTTGCACTTCCGGTGGCCCGCCTGCCCTCCCCGGCATCAGCGGGAGCAGTGGGTGAAGACCCCTCTTTCCCGAGTCCCGTGGCCGTCCCAGGAAGAATAGCAACACTAGGTCTCAGCCTTTTCTCAGCCTTGGGAGCCTGGAGCTGAGAGATGGGCCCCTTTGGGCCTTCTGTTCTTCTTGGGACTTGCTACCCTCCCCTCTCCGCCGGGAGCTTACTCAGGGAGTTGAGGAAGTGGATAGCTTCAGCATTGGCCTCTGGCCGTCGGGGGCGCTCCATGCTTGAGGACAGGTAGTCCCTTGGCTATGAGGCCTACAGAGCGAGAAGCCAAGGGGAGAAGGGTAGAGAGAGGTACCCCGCCCTGGCCCCTGCCCCAAGAGCTGAATCCACCAAAACCATCCCCAGGGATTGAGGGGAAGAAGAGCTCCCACTCTCTTTCCACCCCAAGAACCTTATTCTCACCTGCGGAGTGAACTGTGGAGGACGTGCTGTCTGCCACAGGCCCTCTGTGTGCATCTGTCTCCATGGCAACCCGAAGCTACTGTAGTTACCGCCTTTTAAAGGGCAATCAACTCACTTCTCTACCTATGCCCAGACCTTGAAGTAAATCTGACACAGCAGGCTCATCTCAAGATTGAGATGTTGTCCAGCAGGGGGAGTATTTGATATTTTTCATGACAAATTTTTTTTGAAAAGTGCATTATGGGGGTCATACAATAGCCACGTTTATTTTTTAGAAGTATTTCTATTGATTAATTATTAATATTAATTTTATGAATTTTACTGAACAGTGTGTGCTTAACGGGAAAATAAGCCAGGTGTAGTGGTACACGCCTCTAATCCCAGCACTGGAAAGGCTGAGACAAGAGGATCATTGCAAGTTTGAGACCAGCCTGGGCTACAAAGGGAGCTGAAGCCCTGCCCAAACTGCATAGTGAGATCCTGTCTCAAAGAGACAAAACAGCAAAAAAACAAACAGGAAAATAAAATATCGATAAAATAAAATATTAAAATTTTAATGTGTAATGAGTGTTTAGAATACATATCAGCATTTCCTTTTTTTGCCTTTTTGAGACAGGGTCTCGCTATGCAGTTCAGGCTGGCCTTGAGCTCACTTTGTAGCCCAGGCTAGTCTCAAACTCACAACAATCCTCCTGCCTCAGCCTCCCGAGTGCTTATATCAACATTTTCAGCCGGGCGTGGTGGCGCACGTCTGTAATCCCAGCACTTGGGAGGCTGGGGCAGGAGAATCGTTGTGAGTTCGAGGCCAGCCTGGGCTACAAAGGGAGCTCAAGGTCAGCCTGAACTGCATGGGGAGACCCTGTCTCAAAAAGACCAAAAAAAAAAAAAAACATTTTCAATGTCAACTGTTTACTTGCTTACAAAACCTAAAAAATAACAGCAGAAATAAATTCCTGTGTGAACTACAATGAAAATACAAACAAAAGGAACACCGCTCTGCTTTCTTAAATCACTTACAAGAGGCACTGATGAAGCATACTTCCCTAGATCCAAATTCAGTAGAGGGACAAATTATTCTTAAAGATAAGTTCATTACTCAGTCAGCCACTGATTTCCAAACTGCATTCCAGAAGCTAAAACAAGCTCTCCTAAATGCCGAGCCCTGAGCCTCCCCACAGGACACCATTTCAATTTATATGTTGATGAAAGGTGAGGTATGGCTTTGGGAGTGGTTACACAAGATCAGGGACCCACTTAACAAGCTATGGGGGTGCTGGGGATTTAGCTCAGCGGCACAGTGCCTGCCTGGCAAGTGCAAGGTCATGCATGAATTTGATTCCCGGTGGTGATGGTGGGGGGACAACCTATAGGGTATCTGAGTCATGAATTAGACCTTGTAGCAGAAGGATGTCCTTTTTGCCTTAGAGCTATGGCATCTGTAGCTCTCTTAGTGCCAGAGGCATCCAAGCTGACTTGAGGTAAAGATCTCACTGTATATACGCCTCACGCCTCAGGATGTGGCAGGGCGTCTT